TAAAGATATCCAGATAGAAAAAAGGAACAAAAGGAAAAGGGTAGTTGAAGATACTAATAGTATTGAAATATTGAACCTACAACAAGAATTTCTATTAACTGATAAAAGTAAAGCATCTTCTAAGAAACGAATATGTTAAATGCTATCAAAAGAAGCAATTCAAATTCTTTTACCAATGGTCAAACGTTCTAACTCATCTACAAATAAAGAAATACAAAATTATTTAGATGTTTAGCAGAAAATATATCATCTTCTGATGTTTGGGATAAACATCGAATTATTCAACATTATAGAAATTGGCATAAGAAAGGTATTACTAATAGGAAAGAAGAAGAATAAGATAGTAGATAATTAAATAGCAATTAATAAAACTTTTGTTTGAAAATAATGATATTTTAATATTTTTTTTACTAATAATTAATCAGGCTGTAAAATGAAATTCTACTCATATTTCTACTTGTAATAAATAAATATTTTTGTTTTTAATTTTTTTTTGTAACTAAGGTTCACATTACATCATTAGGTACTTGTAAAATTTTAACAATTGGTAAAAAAGAAGAATCCTTCTCAAACATATCAAATTTAATACTTACTTTATAGGCTTATAATTTGTTTGTTAACAACTCAAAATACAAAAAAATACTGCTAATATTGTAATTTGAAGTTTGAAGAATAGAATTATTAAGTATGATGTTTATTTGTAAATTATATGTTAAATGATTAAAAAAGAAGTTACGCAAAATAAAGTTATATAACATTTATAATTAAGGATTAGCAGTTAATGGAACATCTCGACTGACTGTTAAGTATTAACTAATTAAATTAATGCTTAAAATTATAAAATAATGACAAAATTTTAAATAATTTTTTAATTTATCTTTCTTTATTATTTTATTTTTTAACAATTTTATTATATTTCTTTAATAAAAAAATTAACATAATTATTTTTAATCCTTTAACTTTAATTATAGTCAACTCTTAATATAATGAATTGTTTGTATAACTAATCAAACCTTTGTTATAAAAAAATTTATTATTATTATAATAAATTATTCTATATATATAATAAATAATTTATTATAATAATAATTTTACTTAATCAGATCAATCAGAATAGTTTGTATAATCATATAATAATAAGTTAAAAATCAATTAATCTTATTTTATTTTTTATTACTTCTTATTTGCTCAGTTTTTATCACTTTTTATATTTATAACTAAAGTTCTAAATAGTTCAGATTAATTTAAAAATATAGTTTAATTATTAAAGAGAATCTGCAATTTTATTACGAATTTCAATAATTCTCTAAAGTTTCATAATTTATATGAAAATTTAAAAAGTATTTGTAATTATTTGTGATTTTCTTAAAAGATTCACAATTTTTTACGATACTCTTAAAAAATTGTAAAATTTTGCAAACTCTTAGAAAAATTATAAAAATTGCAAAACTTTAAGTAAAATTATAAAGTAATTATGAAATTCTTTCTATTTAATTAAGAAATTACAAAAATTGTAAAATATAATAACTTTATTCTTTTTATAAATATTAGAATGTTTATTAATATAAATATTTATAAATCCTTTTTATATATTTTCATATTTATTAAAAATTACTAATTTATTCTTAAAATAATTATAAATTTTTTTCAAAATTTATATATAAATTACAATATTTTTTAGAGAATCACTAAAATTTACAATAAAGTTGCAAATTTCACAGATTTTCTTTGAGATTTACATAATATTAAACTGAACTTTTAGATTAATCTGAAATTTTCAGTTTAATTCAAATTTTTACTAATTTACTTTTCAGTTTAAATTCAGATTAGCATTTTTAAAATTAATAATTTAAATTGATTTTGAACTTAATACAAGCAATCCAAAAAAAATTCTTTTATTGTTAATTTGATAAAACTTATTAGATACAATTTATAGTGAGATAAAGCTGTATTTATATTATTTTATTTAAGCAACTTGAAAAAAAATTATCTTTTATTGCTAATTTGATAAAACTTATTACAGTTTATAATTCATTATCTAAACTAACTAAATTCTAATTAATTCTATGAATTTTTATAACTGTCAATAAAATCATCATATACACTATCTTCAAACACCTCATCATCATTAGGATTTTTATTTTCATCATTTAGCAAATTATAATTGAAAATAAAATCATCTTCAGTACCATCTTTTACTATAGAAATCCTGTAACATTTAAAGGATTTTTTAATTTTTTCAACATTAATGTTATCCCAAGCTACTTTAACCTATTATGCAACTTTGTTATAAGCATATCTTTTAATTCTTTTAGTCAGAGTAAATTCATAAATTTTTTCAGATATCCATTCATTATACAATTTGCAAATTTAACAAAATAAAGAAGATCACTAAATAAATCAAAAAAAAAATCAAAATAAATGAATAAATAAATACCTTAGATTTAAAAATTTTATTGATTCTAACATCTAATAGCTGAAGTCTACTAATCAATCCTTCAGAAATTACTGCAATGTTAGTTTGTTTTTTATCAAGTTTATTTTTAGCACTATTAACCAAATAATCACGAAAGGAGTCAAATATTAAAAAACTTCTTGGATTATTATTTATACTGACTCTATTATACTACACATTTTCAATCCACTAAAGCATTTCTTCAATATTAACCTAACCTTTTTTATTGACCCAAATTTTTACTTTATTAGGAAAAACTTCATGAGATATATTCTTTAATTTGAAAATAATGACAGATTCTAATTTGATTCTATCTACCATATATGCCAAAATTATTGTGAAACAATTTTTTTCATGATTAGTTGATCTAATACTAACAGTTTTAGATCTTTTTAATTCTAACATTATTAAAGATGGTAAATCAAAACTAAGGGAAGTTTCATCAAGATTAGCAATTAAATTGAGTAGATAATCATATTATATATGTCTATAAAGAATAAAACTCAAAAATAAATGCTATTTTTCAATTAAATCTTTAGGCAATTGTTGGGATATTGTTGTTTTTCTTCTATTAGATAAGTTATATCTACCAATAAAACTATCTAACCACTTGTTAGAAAATTTAAAATCTTGGATTGTTAGATAAAGTTATTTTATTTTGTCAGCTTCTGCCATTTTCTTGATTTTTTTTATAATCATATTGCAAGTTATAGCTTTGCTTTCTTGTCTTAAATTCTGTAACCATTGAAATAGTGATTTTTCTAATTCAGGTAAACTTGGAGACCTCCTTGGATGTAACTTTTTAATATATGGAGCTGAAGATATAAGTTGCTCCCTTTTTTTTTCCAATCTCTTATTTGCTTTAGTTTAATATCAAACCTTTTTGTAGCAGCTTTTTTACTTTAAACTCTTTATGCATAATATAATATCATAAGTTTTTCATGAGCATATTATTATTATTCAAAGTTTCTTAGTAATCCTAGTATAGTTATAACATTTATTTCCAATTATTGCTATAACAAAACTTGCAAACTCAACAAAATGCCACTTATCTTGTTACCTATATATAGTTAAAATATATCACCATGTATTGTACTCCTATTATATCACAATTCCCTTTAATTATTGTATCCTGAAATTTCTGTAGAATGTAAAATACCCGAAGTACTATAGAGTGTGCTCTACAGTAATTAAAATAGTATATAAAATAGCAAAATTGGTTAATTTAAAATGGAAAACAGTAATTTAGAGTGATGAATTACAATTTATTCTTTTAAAATGATGAACCTAGTTGTGTTTAGAGAAAAAATGATACCTAATATGATATTAAAAATTTGACTCCTATAGTTAAATATAGTAATGGTAATATTATAGTATAGGAATGCTCTTCAAGAAAAGGATTGGGATTACTAATAAAAGTTGAGGAAAAATGAATCAATTAGATTATATCAATATTTTAGAGAAAATTTTATTGCCATTTATTCAATCCAAATATTATAAGCAGCCATATGCATTTCAAGATGACAATGTTCTAGTTTATACAGCAAAGAATGTTAAAAATTAGATTGCTAAGAAAAAGGTTAAGGTACTCTCTAATTGGCTTTTTCAATCTTTAAACTTTAACTGAATTAAACATTTATAAAGTAAACTAAAATTAAAGTGTAATAAATATTTTGTGTATACAAAAATCTTCATGAACTTGAAGAAATTTTGCAAGAAAAATTCTATTTAAAACTTATAATAACCTTATAGAAAGCATATCACATAGAATCAAAGCATATATTAAGAGCCAAGAATGGTCTACTACATATTAAATATTGTATTATATCAAAAATAAATAAAATATTTTTTAGCTAATTAGTTATTTTTCTGAAGGTAGTATATATACACTACCTGGAAATAAGTTTGCACAGTTTTGAAAAAATAGTAAATAAATTTGTGCAGTTTTGAAAATATAGTTTATTATCATTTTTTTTTTAACAAAATATTAATATCTAGTTGGTCAACTATTATTGGCAATATATGCTTCTATTTTTTGAGACATACTATCAATTAATTTTAGGTAAGTTTCTTGCGGAATTTTTTTCCATTCTTCTTTTAGTTACACTTATAAATCTGTAAGTTTTTTAGGCAGATCCAAATGGTTAGAACAAACGTTCAAGATGATCCCAAAGATGCTCAATAGGATTCAAATCTGAAGATTGAGCAGATCAGTTAATTAACATTTTAATTTTTTTTTAGCAACCTATGCTTTAACATCATTAGCTGTGTGAATGGATGCATTATTGTGCTGAAATTTGTAAGATTGGTTACAAAACTTTGAATCAATAAATGGCAATAGGTTATCATCTAAGATTTTTATATAATCATACCGATTGATTATTCCTTCTATTTTCACTAAAGGACCCAATCCTTT